AGTTTGGACACTTATTTTTGCATTAAGCCAAAATATAAATATTACACATATCACTTAACGATTTTTTTAATGATTATTTCTGTATAAGCACCTAAAAATGTAATGGAAAAAACATTAGATATCTAAAAGCGTAACGGAGAAAACAATAAACACATATTTTTAAAGAAAATTTTTAGACATCTAAAGTTATTTAAAGTATAGCTTGGATTCTTATTTTTTCAATAAATCAAATTTGTAAAAAAAATTAAAACATTTGAAAAATCTCTTTAAATGGTTGAATTCATCCTTCTCGACCAATAGACACCTCTAATTATAACGATGGCTTGTTTTCTGACTAAAAGTAAACAAATAATTGCTTCATAATAACTTGACTTTCTATGTACAAAAATAAGACCGAGTGTGCCCATTTGACTATCGCCCTCTGTTTTATGCACATCATTAATGAGATTTGGAAATAGGGATGGATCGACAGCGAGGCTGGAAGTGGGCGAATAAAATTTGATTTGTTTAGAAAATTATTTTTTTTAAAATTTTAAGTTATTAAAGTTGAGTTATTTAAATTAATTTAATTTTATGTCGAGCCAAATTTATAAAATAAAAAAACGTCATTTTAAGTTTATTTTGATCAAATTTAAATTATATATTCCCAAACCATTATAGAATGTCTATGTAGATCTTTTTGAAAACAAATTTTCTATTTTTTTTTAATTTAATAATTTAACTGATTTATTTATTTCTTCAATTACTTATTTGTTTTAAATGACCAAATTTAAACCTAATGCTCTACTAACCTTATAGAATACATATTTAACTTCTATTCTTATTATTAGTTAAAAAAATATTGTTTTTTTTATTTATTCCTATTTTATTCAATTTTATCCTTTGATTAATTTTTTATAATTTTTTCTCCTCATCAATTCCTTTCGCTCCTTTACACTTTCATCAATGTTTTTTTCCTAAAAAAATATCTTATTCAAAAATAAAATTATAAATATATTTTATAATTTTAGATGTAACTTGATTTCTTAAATAACATAACAAAGCTTACACATATGAAGAAAATATATATGTACAGATTAGAGAAAGTCGTTTAAATTGAAACTAATATGTACCATAATATTATAATGTAATTAAATTTATAGAGAAACTAGAATTATTAGATTAGATTCAACTCGACCCATATTTTATAATTTCGGTTTAATTCAAGAAAAATTTCAATTAAAATTTGAATCATCAAATAAGACTCATCAACTAGAGTAATTCGATCAAATATTCACTCCTATTAAAAATGAGTGTACCTTTAAAATTTTATAATTTCAGGTTTATATTATTAATATTTGGAAGTACTCTCCCATTATAACATTCTGAAAATTATTACAATATGTATACAAATCTCTTTTTTTTTGAGTGGATATATAAAAAATTAAACCCATTCTTATGATAATTTTAATGAAATAAATTTGTGAGGCTTTTGATATAAAATAATTATATTTTATATATTGGATTAAGGGCCATAGTTATTATTATTATTTTACAGGACTCGAAAGTTGTGTTTTTCAACATTCTGATTTCATAATTTTTTTAATTCGTTATGCTTGAAACGACCTTCAATTTGGAATTGGAGATTACGCAGATGATGTCACTTGATTTCGTATTTTCTTCAGCTTAATATTCAATAATTTTGTTATGGAAGAGCACGGTGGAGTTTAATCTTATCATATTAATTATCAGGCCAATGATTTATTAATATATTCATAGAAAAGAGATTATATTTTAACGATTGAGATGTCGAGGTTTTAATTTTAAAGTTATTAATAAATATTATATTTTTTAAAAAATAAATTATTTTTTATTAGTTAAACTCTTTAAAAGGGATATATGTTCGAAAGACTTTTAACATTTAATAATAAACGTTCAAATATCCTTACAGTCGTTGTGCTCGAATTCAACTACCCGAGACTTTTAGAGATAACAATCATCTTATCATACAGATCAATGTCATTTGAGGTTCTCGCGTCTATTATACATTGACATGGATCAAGCTACCTCGGTGGTTAAAAATATTATTTTTATCCCTAAAGGTTTCAGGTTCGATCATCATAAATTACAAGAGTGTTCGATGTTTCATTGTTAAATGTATGAAGATATTTAAAACATATACTACCCCTTGTAAATCACTATGGATATATATAAAAAAACAAATTTTAAGGTGAGTATGTATCCATCCTACTTAAGATGGCACATCTACTACTGATAACACGTACACTATATAACTAAGTAAAACCACATTTACTAAGAATAATAATATTTTAAATTATTGAAAACGATTAATAGATTTCATATTTTATTTGCCGTAAATAAAAACCGAAGAGTTTGGTTGAAGCAATTAAAGCAACCGACGTAGCTAATTGAACTGGTCATTAGACAGTGACAATTAAATTATATTTGTTTTGAAAATTCCAGAGTCAAAACACAATTTCTTGCCTCTGATCCCTAAACCCAGATGTTTATGGACAGTATTACTTTTTCACTGTATTAAATAAAATTAATTTAATTTAATTTTAAAAATTAAAATTTTCATTTGAATATATCAAATCAACTTTTTTATATAAAAAAGAAGCTTGATATTGTAGGTTAGGTTTACTTTCAGTGCTATTTATTATATTAGCCATTGAAATTTTCATTTCAAGTACGTGTGTGTGTGTCATAAATTGTAAAGAATTCCACATATAAGTAAGAATTTTAAAAATTTTCGAGTAATCTCAATAGTTAAAATGAATATCTTCTAGTTGATTCAAATTTAAATGATATAATTTACATGGGTAGGTGAGTTCAGATTTTTTTTAAAAAAAAGTATGAAATTTTAAGTTAATTTAAAATATTTTATTAAAAAAATCAACAAATAACAAATTTAAGTGCCGATATTAGGTAACAATAAGATATTAACTCTTTTTAGTTAATGATTCTTAAGTAGTTTACAAATTTCAAAATAGTATTCACATTATTTAAATATTTAAGAGCAATCAAATTTAATATATATATATATATATATTATTTTTCAATATCATAGCCCCATAAGTTTTCCTTGTCTTTCGTTATTGAGTGTTGTTCTCTCTAAAAGTTACGAGTTTGATTAATTATGTTTATAAGATATATATTATCGATAGTTAAGAAATATTCTGAACAAATATTACTATCGTTTAATCATAATATTAAAAAAGAATTATATATTTTTATTAAATTTATTATCTTTAGAGTGTAATCTTTTGATACGTTTAATGCTACTCTAATATGCTATTAGGAATAAACAAAGTAAATAATGACAAAAATGATTAGCTGTAAGCCACTAACGGCGCGCCCTAACGCCGGAATCCAGGACGGACGGCTTCTCTGTCTTAAACTATTAAAGCTAACACCAATCAACCATAAACAATGTTTTATTATGAAAATTGCCCTTTTAAATATTATTTAATTATTATATTTTTTTGGACGGTTTGTTTGTTTGCTCCATCATTTAACAAATAAATATTGTATTTTTTAATATAAAAAATATCAAAACTATACATTTTTTCTTACTTAAACTTTTTACGGTCAATTTAAATGTTTAACATTATCAACATTATCATTTAAATGTTTCGTTCATCATAATCATTAAAAAAATGTTATCTAATTATAAAAGTTTGAAAATTTTATTTAAAAAACCTTCAAATTATTATTATTTTTTTAAATCTTAAAATCTCTAGTTTTAATCCATCTACTCTCATCATCGATCATCTCCAACCACTCATCTGTTACTGCCCACCCATCGACCATCCATCACCTTTTTCATCGTCTCAAACCTTTAGACAATAGTCACGTTGCTTCGACGATCATTTGTGATGTTGGTGGTGGTCAATCGACGATTGATGCAAAGAGTCCACACTAAGCGATTAAAGTTAAGGATTCTAAAACATTTGAGGTGTTTATGAGATTATAAGGGAGAAAATAAGATTTTTATAAAATATTAATTTTTAAGTTCTCTTAAAAATAAAATTTTCAAACAAAATATAAATGTGACACATGTCAGATAACAAATTATTTTTACATGTGTTGCAATCGAGGCACCTAAATGATAATATTAAAAACATTAAACAACTAAATTAACCAAGAAAAAAATTAGCTAGAAAAAAAACTTTATAATTTAATATTTTTTCATATTAAACTTTTTTTTATGTTTTCAATTTCAACTCTCGTAAGAATGTCTCAAACAAAACAATTGTCTACAATAACCCACCTGGAATTGCAAGGTTTTAAATGATTTTTATTTGTTAAACATATCGATATTATAATTCTATATATAATTAATGAATTAATATATAAGCATTGTGAATATATTATAAAATTAAGTTTCAATTATTATTTTTCTCAATTAATATTAGATTCATGTTCAGTAAATTAAAAATGAGTTATATCAAATTTTTTGGTGCTGATAACATCCATCAACAATAACTGATATGGTAGTCGACTATGAGCAGAATCTAGGTTTAAAGAAGAGAGAGAACAAAGAGAAATATAAAAAAGACTAAATTAATAGGATTTTAAGTAATGAGGATTAAATTTATTAAATTGATTCGAATTAAGATTAAATCAATAAAATATATAAATTTTAGGGACAAAACTATTATTTTACACACCACACCATCATCTCCATTAAGTTTTAATAGAAACTTAATGGTTAATGACCAAAATAGAAAAAATGTAATGTTAGATCAATCTTATCAAAAACAAATTAGTGACCCAAAATAGAAAATGGTAATAGTTTGATGACCAATGGTATAGTTTACCCAAAATATTATTACGCAGTAAATACATCATTGAAGAAGCGGTGGTACTAGTTTTGCATTATCTGTTGAACAAAATGTTTGACTATGAACTTTCAAAACCCTTTTAACAGGATAGCTGATCCATGACGTTTTTCCCATTGTTTTTCTTTCTTTATTCACCTTTTCCAAATCCCATGAAAACCAAGCTTTGATCTGGGTTTTTTTTGCTTTTGCAGCAATGGAGAATCAACAACACCCAAACCCTGTTCTGTTCTTGTTTTGTTCATAACCCTGTCTTCTCACTCTGTTTCGTCTCTCGATTTCGTCTTCAATGGCTTCAATTCTACTAATCTTTTACTCTACGGTATTGCTCGAATAGATTCCGGAATTCTTACACTCACCAACGAAACATCTTTTGCTGTCGGTCGAGCTCTTTACAGATCGAAAATCCCAACAAAGACCCCGAAATCTTCTCATGTTCTTCCTTTCTCCACTTCCTTCATCTTCTCCATGGCTCCTTCGAGGAACAAAGATACACTTCCAGGACACGGCATCGTTTTCATCTTCACACCCAGTACTGGCATCAATGGAACCAGCTCATCGCAACATCTAGGCCTTTTCAATCTTACAAACAACGGCGACCCGACCAATCATGTCTTCGGTGTCGAATTCGATGTCTTTGCTAACCAAGAATTCGATGACATAGACGATAACCATGTTGGGATCGACATTAACTCCCTCAAGTCAACAAGCCCCTACACCGCTGGTTACTGGCCCGACAAGGTAAACAGTGATTTCGAGAAACTGAAGCTTAATAATGGTAAGAATTACCAAGTTTGGATTGACTATGCAGATTCTGTTGTTAATGTTACTATGGCACCTGTTGGGGTAAAAAGGCCTAAGCGGCCATTGTTGAATGTTTCTTTGGATTTGTCTGATGTTTTTGAGGATGAAATGTATGTTGGATTCACAGCATCAACTGGGAGGTTGGTCGAAAGTCATAGAATTTTGTCTTGGAGTTTCAGTAATTCGAATTTCGGATTGAGTGAAAGATTGGTCACCACCGGTTTACCGTCGTTTACTATCCCGAAAACTCCTATTCATAAGCGTAGACCGTTTATCGCAGGCGTAACGGTAGCGAGTTTGATCGTCGGTGTTTCAGTTGCTTTGCTTTCGCTGTTTTTGATTAGGAGGGAAAGGAGGAAAGCACAGGAAAGAGCTGAAATGGAAGATTGGGAATTCGAGTATTGGCCTCATAAAATGAGTTATCAAGAAATCGATGCGGCAACCAAGGGATTTTCGGACGAAAACGTGATCGGATTCGGCGGGAATGGAAAGGTTTACAAGGGAGTTTTACCAGGCGGAACCAAGGTTGCGGTGAAGCGCATTTCGCATGAAAATGACGGAATGGGAGAGTTCTTGGCTGAGATTTCGAGCCTCGGCCGGTTAAAACACCGGAGCATCGTCGGTTTGAAAGGTTGGTGCAAGAAAGAGAAAGGGACATTCATGTTGATATATGATTACATGGAAAACGGAAGCTTGGATAAGAGGGTTTATCATGACTGTGATGAAACAAAGATTTTGAATTGCGAGGAAAGAATCAGAATCTTGAAAGATGTAGCCTCGGCTTTATTGTATTTACACGAGGGATGGGAATCCAAGGTCCTGCATAGGGATATCAAGGCCAGCAACGTATTGCTCGATAAGGATATGAACGGAAGGTTAGGCGATTTCGGGTTAGCTCGAATGCATGGCCACAGTCAAGTGGCTACCACCACTCGTGTGGTTGGAACCGTGGGTTACTTGGCTCCCGAGGTGGTTAGGAGCGGACGAGCTTCGACACAAACTGATGTGTTCGGTTTTGGGGTCTTAATTTTAGAGGTCATGTGTGGGAGAAGGCCTATAGAGGATGGGAAGCCACCTTTGGTTGATTGGGTATGGCAGTTGATGATGCAAGGCGAACTACTTGCCACAGTCGACGCACGGATAAAGGCTAACGAAGGATTCAGCGAGGAGGAGGTAACGAAAGTGCTGCATTTAGGGTTGCTTTGCTCGTATCCGAATCCAGATTCCAGACCAACAATGAGGCAGGTAGTCATTGCCTTGGAAGGGAATAACGAACCATTCGAAATGGAAACCGAAGATATGGAAGCATATTTGTTATCAAAGGTGAAGTCTAGGGATATGTGGGCTAATTACTCTCGAAGCTCCGGGAACGCGTCGCACCCGACACTCGACGATATCCGACAGTCACATTCGTCTTCCATGTCTCTGTCATGGAACAGTGCCATAGTGGAAGGTAGATGATGCATGTTGAGGAAGGGTTGTAAGATTAAAGAGCATCAATCGTTTGTAGTTTTTTTTTTAACTATTAAACTTTTTTTTTTTCATTCTTTCACGTTAGTGTTATGAAAGAGCCTTTTTGGTTATTGAAAATGTTAAAAGCCTTGGACATTTCATTGTACATATGTATGTTAAAGTTTCAAACTTCAAATTCACATTGTAATAAGTTAAAAGGATGAGTTTTAGATTATTATGTCAAGAAAATTGTCTTGTCAGCGCACTGATAATCATTATACTCTCAAGTCTCTAACACCAACATTAAAGATTTCCATATAAACTCTTATGCGAGATTGGAGAGAGATTCCTCAATTCTCTCTTTCGATCTTTCTGCATCGTACATCACCCTCCTCTTCAACTCACTTGAATCTTCAGTCACAATTTTCCATCCAAACCATAAGAGGTGAACTGTCAATAATCCACCATCACCCTTTCTTCATCAATATAGGTTTTAATGAGTGATTAAGAGTTCAATCTACTATCATCAAAGTGATATGGGAAATCTACCTAATTATCTCTACCAAAATAATCTGAACATTCCTCATATGACATTGAGTTAGCTAATATTGCAGGCTATTTGGGTGTCTTCGTACCTACCCGATACCTAGTTCTTTGATTACTTGCACCAGGCAAATGTTTAGCCATTTCGTGCTAAAATATAGTGTCGTTGGATCATTGCAACTCTCTTTGAACCAACAATTAAGCCCAAATTTTGTAATTGGATTTCCCTGAAATCCATTAATTTTTGTATAGAGGATTCATTAAAGCTGCAATTAGCTGCTCTGATGTATTGACATATATGATGAACCGAGATAGTATTATTCATTTCTACCGAAACCCAAATGTAGATAATTCCATAATTCTGCAAAATCAAAGTTCATCTCATTGTTCCATATCCATGACCCTTTGCAACATCTTTGTGTTTTTTCATCTCATTTAAGCCAAATTAGCAAGAGGAGCAAAGGTAACAACACTTTTGTTTTAAGACGTTCTTTAATTGGTTGTAAGTTGTAACTGCAAGCCAGAATGTTAAAGCACCTAAAGCTGCTACTGCAACATTATTACAACCTCTATTCATTTTTCTTTTCGTCAATAACTGTCCGGATTCAAACTTAAAGCTACTGTCTGAATCATTGGCTCATTATTGACAGCAATATTACAAAGCAGGTAGAGAAAATGCAGTCTACGTTTCTAAATATGTGAATATATAGAATTGACTCTCGATCACTATCATCAGTCCGACCTTACCTCATTTCTTAGAGCGGACTTACTCAGAGTGACCTTAGGTTGCTGGTTCGAACCGGCAGGACGGAATTTTCTTTTGTTTTGCATAAAAAAATCACCATTTGCATTAAAACTCACTAAAAACCCATGCAATATCTCCATATCACATTAATACATATGAACCAGATTATTCTGCTCCAATAACTACTTTATTGAGAATAATTAAATGAGACACGTAACAGTTTATTTTATGAAACTAATTATTTGTTTTTTATATTTTATTTTATCATACTTAATTTTAACTTTATTTAATTTAAGAAATAATATATCTCTGAGATTTAAAAAATTAAATTTTAAAATTTTAAGAATGAATAATGTAAGTTTTAAAATGTTAGAAATATGATTACAAAAAAAATATAAATTACCTACATACATTTAGAAAATCTAAATATGTAATTGTACCATTAAAAAGGTTAGATAAACAATTAGATTAGATTTTAGATTTTATTATTTATTAATTAATTAATCTAGATCAAGATTTGTCGAGGGCTTATTATTGAGGCCCTCATTTCAATCCAATTTATTTCATTGCAGTTGTCAGGATTCGAATTTTTCACCTTTGTTTAAATAATTCGATACTTCAACCAACTAGGCCAACTAATTGTTGGTTACAAAATATAATAATCGATACTGGCTCTATCTCTTAAACACAAACACAATTTTAAGAATATTTTTGTCAAGAAAAAAAGATAGTTTGGACACTCAATGAAGAATTTATCGGAAAAAAATACATATACATTTACTATATGAAAGTACAAATTAACATTTGTTAATTCTGAATAAGATAATTGGATAGACTATAAGTTTCATCACTTTCATTTTAATTTTGAACATTTTTTCACTGAATTAAAAAATATAATATTTGGTTACTTTCGTTTTTATTTAATTAAGATTTGATTACTTTCGTTTAAATCTTTGTACATTTTTTTAGACACGAAGCAATTAAATATTTCGAATAATAAACATAAAATTAGAAAGTTTTTGGAATACATTATATATAAAATCATTGTTCAATGACCAATTTGATGTTTTAGTGATCGATTTGTTACTTTTGAATTTTAGTGAGGAAAATGAAAACTTACAAAACATTAGTGACCGTTTGTATAGTTTACCTATTTTAATTTTATTAATTCATTGTGCCACATCAGTCATCCATTAAAGGTCTAACCTCAGTTAATCTTAAATAATCGCATCTTAATTAAATAAAAACGAAAGTAACAAGATATTATATTTTTTAAATTCGGTGAGAAAAAATGTATAAAATTTAAACGAAATAAACAATCTTATACTTTACCCAAATAATTTAAAAAGATAAAAAAAAATTGGAACAAATGAAACAATATTTAAACAGAAAATCCTAAAGTTGCTTGAGATACCTTTTTAGTTGACCTCCGTCAACCACGTGTCGCGTGCAATTTAAATAAAGATACGATTTAAGGAGAGTTCATTTAATGATACTAATTGGTGAAGATATTTCAAAGATACGTACTTAAAAACATCAACAATAAATTATTAATCAGATAAGATTTATTAGTAAATTATTAATCAGATAAGATTAAAGAGTCAAAATCAACCACTTTAAGCATGCTGATTACTTGAACCACTGCTATAAGAGTGATGAGCACTGAAAAATTCATTTTAATTTAGTTTTATTTGGTGTTGTGATTGCCCCCAACATGTTTGACGACACAAGTAAATGTGTGTTTTGGTCTAAATTCTACAAGAAATAATCATGTTCATTTATCTGATTAAGAACGAAATTAAAATTGAACTATAAAAAGTAAATTATTTAGTTTTAAAATAAATAGGTTTAAATTTAACGAAAAATATGCGAGTTATCAAATCCTTATTTTGTGTTTTTTCCAAAATATAACAATTCATTTGTTGGGCTTTATATATCTATTTTTTTTTACTTAACGGTAATTTTGACATGTTACCATAAGGTAACACTATCATTGAGAAAATAAAAAAGTACATCGTTAACATTTCTGTTATTTTTTTAATAGTAGGGTATTAAATTGAAACCTAAATTAAATATTAAGTATAATTTTAGGAAAAAGTTAAATTTAAGTATCAAAACAGGATAAAAGTAATAATTTAAATATTAAATATGTACTTTACCCTATTTAAAAAGATTAAAGAACAATTTTACCAATTTAGAGGACTTACCCGGACACGCCTTCTACTAATTGGATCCCTTTTTACTCATGTTTATTATTTATGTTTTTATTGTGCATCAAAAAAGGTTTTTACTCTTTCCAAAAATTATAAATTTATCTTTTACTTTCTTTAAAAAGGTTTAAATTTATTAAACAAAATAATGATAAAATTATGTTTTCACCCCTAAAAATTTTTAATTCAACCCCGATTCCTATAATATTTGTTAGACAAAAATAAGATCCGAGAAAATAAAAAATAATAAGTTGGAATAAAATAATTGAATCGAACAAAAAATAAGGACGATAAGAGATCCTTTACTCATTAGTAGTCATAAAATCAAATGAGAATAGACGTTGAGATATGTTTACATAGTTTCTTTAAGATATATTCGTCCGCCCCTATGTTTTGGAGAAATGGTAGTCGATTGTCTCTCAGGATACAACAATGAGATGTACACAATAATAACACAACTGTAGTGATTAGCGAATTGTAACTGATCCCTTTTCCTATAACCAAAACTACTTGAGATTAGAGAAAATATTTTTTGTGTGTCTTAACCTTATAGTTTTACACAATTTAGATAGAATATTCACATTGAAGAATATTGGAAAGTTTGAATAATGGAGCATTAAATATACGCCATTAATATATAATATTCTCGTATGAAAATCGAGGAAATATTAATGCATGATATTTTCGTCTTATGAATTAAGGTAACAATTACTTAAAATAATGTCTGATTAAAAAGCAATTAGATTCAACTTAGTTTTCCTTTTTTTTTTTTAATTCTAAACAGGATTTTAAAATATATGATCTAATTTGATAAAGCAATTAGATTCAACTTAGTTTTCCTTTTTTTTAAAAAAAAAATCCAAACATGATTTTAAAAGATATGATCTAATTTGATAAAGGAAAAAAATAATTTTCCATATCGGGCTAAAATATCTCTAAGCCCAATCGAATTGAACACATTACTTTGAGTACCAATTTCTCACTCAATCATTTTGAATAAATGATATATCATTGTAAAAGTCTAATGGAATAGAATATAAAATCATAATTTTATGATTCAAATCTCCACTTTTACCTATTGAAAATATGCCTCAAAGTTTCTAAAAATCTATTTTTTTTCAACAATCATCGCATGAATGAAATTGACGATTTAATCAAAATATTGGCTGATGTGGTAATAAAATCTACGATTGATAGTAGCAAGGGATAGATAGGCATCAACCATATTTCCTTGTGAATGTATATTTACTTAACCAACTGACCAGTAGATGTGAAGTCTTTGAATTGTCTTATCATTTGTGTAAACAATAGTATATCTCACACAACTACATGCGTGACAAGGTTTTTAGTTCTCATGGTTATTTCCATATAACCGTGGACATCTCCTAGTTATGCAAGATCTTAGAGTACTATACATCATTAGTTTCTTTAAAACATCTCCACTTCAGCCTCACATAAGTGATCATCAAAAGCATTGCTTAATCTATCTCGTTTTTCATCACTGTTTATATAATAAGAACGGGCTATGGATAAGATTCTACCACATTTTGCTTAAAAGGTCTACGCAATTAGGTTATCCCTTTTAATCTATATCTTGAGATCTCCAGTCAACTAAGTTAAACTTTTCTTTACATAAAGCATTAAATATTCGTAAGTTTTAGTTTCATTCCTTTCGATGTTTTATCAACTTGATCTTGATTCAACGTTTTAGTTAGCGGATCTGCAATATTATATTTTGATTTTATAAAATAAATAGAGATTAATTTCATTTGAGATAAATTGTTTAATGATATTGTGTTGACGATCCATGTGTCTCGACTTATTATTGTACATCATGGTTTGTGTCCTAGGAATCGTTATTTGATTATCACAATGTATACATATTGTGGGTACAAATTTTGACCATTATGTAATATTTGTCTTCTCTGAAATTGGTAACCAAAACGTAATTTTTTAAATTTAATGAGCTAAAATGTATAAATATATATGGTAAGTGACAATTCTGATGGTTAACTCTAGTTATTACTTGGAAAAATAATCTTATTAACAATGTTCAGATATTAATAAGTATCATTTTAAATAAAATTTTAAATATAAAAATTAAATAATAAAAGTTTAATATTATTTTTATTTACAATATACTATCAAATAATCTGAGACAGAGTCATAATTAAACTATGAGGGGGCAAGTTGCTTAACTTTAAAATAAATGGAGTCTTAAAATGTAATTAAATCATAAAAATTAGTAGATTAAGAGTTTGATTTTATTAATTTTAAAATTAGAAGGTCTTAAATAGTAATAAAATTAGATAAATTTGGGGTCAAGGCTTAATTCCATTAATTTTAAAACTGAGAGTATTCCAAAACAAATTATACCAAAATTTTTTGAAAGGGACAAAAACTTAATTATAATTTCAAAATTTTCAATGGTTTAAAATGTAATTAGAACATAAAAGTTAAGGGGTAATCGCCTCTTCCACTTATAACGTAAATTCGTCCCTGCAAATAATAATATAGTTATAATATATTTTCTTTTGAAACAAAAACATTGTACCAAACTTCTAAGGTCATGGTCAAAATCAAATCAATAGGTGCTCCCAAATGCTGATACTCGTTTCCTTGGAAAGTAATTAGTTAGGTGCGTTGTCAGAAGTTTACTCTAATTAAATTATATATTCATTCTTATGTTTACTATAATAAATTTTACGTCGTAATAAATTTATTAAGTGATTTTGGTAATTAAAAAAATATGTCTTTTGATGTATTGAGTTTGAGCAGCCACGTTTGTAATGTGTGTGCATGGTCAAAGCTAAAACATATTATAAACATATATTATCTTATAATCACCTCGTACTAACAAAAAAATCATATGAAAATTTAGCAAATCATATATCTTATTATTGAATTAAAATTCATAATTATAATCATATACATCATATATAAAATTATCATAAAATATAATATTCAATTAAATAACTAATATATTACATGTATTATAGGCTTTGTATTAACTTTTTTATTCTTAATGATTTAAAATAATAGATCTTGAATTTGTTTTTCATATCAATCGTTACTTGATTTTATCACTTGCCACATGTATATGTAAAAACTTTGGTGTGTATGTATCTTTCTGAATAATTAAAACAGGTCAATGGCAGTCCACTAAGCCCTACAGAGACTCCACCACCGGTTCATACCTAGCAAACCTTCTCCCAGGCCCCAGCTATCTCTTCATTTAATCATTTATATATATTTATAATCTCCGAGAAATAGTAAGATTAATATTCTAATAATTTAATCTATATGAATAAGTTATGAAATATGATTATAAAATTATTAAAATATTAAACGTGCAAAAACATATTCATATGCTGGGTGGATGAGCGTCTTGTATATTGACAAGGGTTAAATCCTTTAACTAATCTTTCCATTATAGTAAGTTATGAATTTAGTGGGTTTATTTTAATTTGGTCATATCTAATTATGTATTAAGTATGCATTGTACGAATTAAGTGATCTCGGTGAGTTGTTGTTATTACTGGAAGTCTGAGATTTAAGCATCATGTATGCGTGAGTATAAACGCTCATTATCAATATAATTGAGAATCTTTGAATAGATGTTACCTTATGTTCATCCTATAATTAAAAAAAATTATTTATATTTTGAAATTTAATATTTTGATCATGTTTTAAACTATAGTTCAATTATGTTAAATTATCTTCTTACGTCAATTTCACGAGTCTCTTATCTATTCTTATTTGATAATACGGGGAGTATGGTAAAATAAATAACAAAAATACATAAGATTTAGAGATAATCGGACTAGAATTGACGACTTCTATCACGTCGAGATTACATTCTACCGTGGAGTTATAAGTTATAACACTTCCCTGTCACATCAAAAAATAGAACTAATCTTAAGTTAAAGGATCGAGAAACGCAGTAGCATTGTTATTCTCAAATAACTAGGAGCCAAACTTTCTTTTCACCGTAATATGAATACGAAAATAATGAAAGAAAATGGATTCAATTGTCAATTGCTCTTATCTAAAACAAGATTCTATCGCTAAAATAAGATTCTAGCCATCTATGCAGGATTCAATCTGAATTTATCGATTAATAGATCGGATATCATAATTATAGTATTTTTTTAATTTTAAAAATATGAAAATTAAAATGAAATAAATAAATATATAACTTACCTATAATATAAGCACTAATATCAAAATATGACCTGTTGACTAGGAACTATTGAGTCAAACGAAAGTAGTATAAAGCATAACATCTGTTACTTGAATGAGAATCCAATATTGTGGTGAGCTGCTTTAATTTGCTTCTCAAAGAAAATACTTGGATATCCATGGACCTCAACAACCCTAATTCCTCAAAATTAGATAGGAAATTCATCGAGAGAAACAGGAGAAATCAAATGAAAGCTCTCTGCTCTAAGCTCAATTCTCTCGTTCCACATCAGAGTTCTAGGGTTTCTCTCTCTCTCTCTCTTAATCTTTCACCTTCAAACTTGCTCCAAAAACGTGCACAAATATTTGCTAAGTCTGGGTTTTTCCTCCCTTTCTTTTCCTATAATGCAGGAAGCGGCATCATCACTGCCTGACCAACTAGATGAAGCTGCGAATTACATAAAAAGTTTGAAGGAAAACTTGAAGAGAATGAAGGAAAAGAGAGACGGCTTAATGGGATTGATCAAAAGTCAAGAAAAGGGTTCAAAATCCCCTCGAATCCAGATTCAAGAAATGGGTTCTTCGTCTTTGGTGATTGCGTTGAACGCCGCCGGGTTCAACAGCCAGTTCATTTTCAATGAAACAATCCGTATTCTACACGATGAAAGGGCTGAGATTGTTAATGCAAGTTTCTCTGTTGTCGATGATGATACTATTCTACACACCATTCATCTTACGGTACACTCATTGTTGTCCTTTAATGACTTTAATTTCATTTACCCTTTTTCTAATGAACTTTTTTTTTATTATTGATTTCTGGGAATTTTTGGGTTCAAAATGGTGTAGATTGGGGAGGGATCACCAGATTATGGAGCTGCCAGGATATCTGACAGATTGAAGAAGTTTGTGCACGATGTTGGTGGATATAATAATCTGAATTAATCGGTGAATAGATCATGTAGTATTGATTAATTAGAAAAAAAGCTCTTAAGAAAGATAGAAATGTGAAACGCCATTGCCGGCTTATAATTAGCATATCATAAAATAATGCTGCTACTCATATTGTTGTTATGAACTACATATTGATTACGATGAATACAAGGTGATATTTATTTAAAACTTTTTATAATCTATTGATAATGCGCATATATCCGGCGGTTACAATTACTTAAACTCAAATTTCTAAAGAGAATAACATTCCTTTTTGCCTTGTTTAATCTATAGCTTGGGTTCAATTTAAACATTTATGTGTATGTTTACCTTATTGGGTTATTAAGAAAACTTCTTTGGGTACTCTTTCTATAGCTATACCTAGTAGATCTATATATAATTCTATTATCATCTTACCTGGGGACGGAGATAGGATTGATCTATGATAGGACAAGTTGTTTAACTTTAAAACAAATAGGGTCTTAAAAGTAAATAAATCATAAAAATTAAGAGATTAATGGTTTAATTTCACTAATTTCAAAATTCAAAGGTCTTAAAAAGTAATAAAACCAGTCAAATTTGGGATCCGTGCTTAATTTTATTAATTTTAAAGATAACAGTGTCCTTAAAAACAATTATACCAAAAAAATTGAGAGGGGTAAGGACCTAAATATTATAGTTTCAAAACTATTAGTGACTTAAAAAATAATTGGACCATCAAAATCTGGGGGACATTGTTCCTCCCATCTATAACGTGACTCCGTTCCTAATCTTACTTATAATTACTGTTGAATATGATAAAGTTTAGAGAATACTTAAAAACTATTGGTCTATCACCATATGAGGTCTTCTTGTTATAGCTCGTAACAAAATTGAGTATTTGTTAACTTTGGATTAGGTAACAAAATTTATTTTAGTGAAACATAACACCTTGTATTTATTGATATTATTCAAGTTCGATCGTTGCTTTATAACGAACTAAATCAATTAATTATTTTTATTTTAAAGATTTTTTTTAATTTTTAGATAATAAAATATTATTGTATTAAAAGTGTTCAGACTCACGATCTCAAAGATTTTATAATAAAAAAATATCGATCAAATTAAGATTTGTACATTTCTTTTCCCAATAAAAGAAAAGAAATATTCATTTTTACTCGTATGTTTCCTTTTTAACCATTTTGTTTGCATCAATATGGAAATACCAATGAACCAACGAAAAGAAACATTCCATGACTGACTCGTTGGAACCGCAATAATTGACTCATGGTTATTGGCAACATCTTTTTGCAAAAGTTACATTCTCGTAGAAAGATGTCTGCAACAAGTTCAATATGAAAGCATGTTTACAAAATTTTCACGGAAATTTCCTTATGTTCTTTGTAGATTAATATACTATGAATATATATATATATATATACTGAGATGGAAGGTGAAGTCAGTTATGGAAGTCGTGTTTCGAGGGAAGAAGCTTGTAGGAAGTTGGTTCATATAAAATAATTTTTCTTTTTTTCTTTTTCTATGAAATTGAAAAGAATAAATTCGTTCATCGTGTTTTGTATGACACAAGATGCATGACGTTTGTCACTTTTATTTGTGTTGCGTGGAATGAACTAGAAACTTTGATGACCATTCTATCTTTTTTTATTTAATAATCTGAAGGAAAAAAGTATAATTTCGTACCTTTTAATTTTTTAATATAATTTATTAAAAGTTGTGCTTCTAACCCACCCCGATCCTATCTATAATTTAAAATACATTTATAAACTGTTTAGACAAGTGGCAAATAGGGCTTAACATAAGAATATTGGCAATATTGGGTTGTTGATGTAACAGTACGCAAGACGTTGTTTCGGAGTATTATTTATAACAAAAAGTACATCAATACAAAATTAAATGAAGTATTATATGTTATACTAATAATTAAATTATTGACTAAGTTTAATGTCACGACTCGTGAGTTAATTATATATCAATTTATTGAAAATTAATCTTAATTTGAATTATTTTTAATGTTATTATGATGGTATTTTGTCTATTTATATTTTTTATATAATCTTTAAATAATTAATTAATTTTTTTAATTTGTCCCTACTTTTTTATTGCACCAATTTTGTCTTGATGTCATTTAACTACATCAATTTTATCCTTTAACCAACTATGCTCGTTACTGTTAGAGTTTGACTAAAATTTAAAGTGACACAAATTAATTAATATATAAATTTGGGAAACTAAAAAAACCTTGTTTGATTAGAAGTGAAAACTTTATTTTTTTTCATTTACGTAGAAAACATACTTTGAGTAGATTTCTAATTTCTAAGTTTCCTTTGCAATCAAATATCTATCACTATAAATAGATACTAAAGATTAGAGTTTAAAATTAGGTTGTCCATGAGGACTCATATTGTATTCTTCTTCTCTTGACATTAGTGAATTTTCTCATCTTCTGCTCGTGGTTTTTCTCGAAAGAGTTTTTAACGTAAAATCTTGGTGTCTGTTTTATTGGGCGATCATTATGCATGACGTTATCTTATAATAGTTACAATGCTAATGTGATAGTTAATGATGTTGATGTGGTGGTCCACTATACTGATATGATAGTCTATGATGCTAACATAGAGTATACATTTGAATGATTATGTGGCATATGGACTAAATTAATTATTTTAACTAAGTTTTAGGACATAATTGATTTTAATTAAAAATACAAAGACTTATTTAATCTCTAAGTAAAAAAAAGAAATTAACTCTAAACAATATTTTTTTTAATAAAATACTTTATTGTAGCATGATCTAAATGTATTATCACTTTAACTCCTACTAAATAGGCATGAATTTTTTTTAGTTAATATTTTTTTTCTTCATTTACCATTTAGAGTAAATGCGGACAATTTAAGCATTTCATTCATCTAGAGTTACTACACACTACAGGAGGGCTGTTGGCCTACGTTTTAAGCACAAGAAGAAACAATTTGGGTTATTAATTATACTGATATTTATAGTATTAAATATTAAAATAACTAATAATATAACATTAAAAAATATTAGTATAAAATAATAAATAGTATTACCAACAATCAGATGATCTAGTGGGATGAGGCATTAGATTCCTTAAGCAAGGTTATGGATTCAAATCCTGACGTTTGCGAATAGAGTAAACTAGGTTGAGACAGTCGTCTTCGCCTCTGTAGTACCCGATATGAAATAGTCGTCAATAGATTAGATAACAGTGATTAATTCAAAAAAAAATAAATAGTGTTAATTATACTAATATTTAATTACTAAAATATGAATATTATTTATATATTATTAAAACATAAATAGGTTTTTTAAATAATATTTAACAATAAAGTATATTAGAAATCATTTAATTATAAATTTATTTAATTGATACAAAATATCAATACATTTTTTATAAGAAATGATTTTTTTTAAAATATTATTGTTTATTAATAAACAAAATATCCACAGATATGAATAGAGTTAAGTTGTATATGCATGATATGAATAGAGTGGATAGGGTAAATAGACAGCTTTGTATTGATTGGGGACTCATTTAATTGGGTGAATCCACGAGATAATGTTCTCGAACTTTTTTATTCACGAGATAATGCACATCCCATATTAATTGCTGAAATGGGGTGAATTCTACAGTGGCATCCGAGCGAGCTTGGAGGTTGCCATGGCATCCGAGCGACCTTGGAGGTCGCCATGGTATCCGGGAGACCTTGGAGGTCGCCATGGTATCCGGGCGACCTTGGAGGTCGCCATGGCATCCGAGCGACCTGTGTGGTGTTTTGCAAAGGAGCAGGTGTTGGTCGCCATGCAATCAAATAGTATTGGAGCATGCTTGGGGGAGTTGTGGGATGCATGTGAGAGTTGTGCATGGGACGTGGGAACTGTGCATGGGCCATGCACGTCGAACGGTGTAGGTCGCCATGGAGTCACGGCGTGGTAGGTAGGTCGCCATGGAGTCTCGGCGACCAAGCTTCGTTGCAGCTAGATTCTAGCTGGGAGATTCCTGCATCCGTAGCTGCATGCGTTGCATCCATAGCTGGGAGATTCCTGCATCCGTAGCTGCATGTGTTGCATCCATAGTTGCGTTATTGCAGCGTTAATTTAGCTGCCAAATGCAGCAAATATTATTGTTCAATTGCAGTCTTTCAATGCTCAATAGTTATACGATGCAATGCTAATATTATTTGTTCAACAGTCAAATTTAATGACTCTGTCTAACGCTCAGTTGTTTATATAAAGGATATGGGGTTTAGGGTAGAAGCACAAGCAGAACCAGAAGCATAAGCATATATAAACTTTGCCGAGAGAAAGAAAAGGAAGAAGAAGAAAAGAAGATAAAGGCTCAAACATAGTTCGTGAGGTAATTTTTTTATTGTTTAATTTAGTTTATTATATGAAATTATTAGTTTGTTAGTTTCGGGTTTAGAGTAAAACTAAAATCTAGTTAATTAGTTTGTTAGTATAAATTATTAGTTTGTTAGTTTAAGTTATATTATATTAGTTTATTAGTTTAAGTTATATATTATATTATATAAAAAATTAGTTAATTAGTTTCTTAGTTTAAGTTATTAAATATAAAAAAATATTAATTAATTTGTTAGTGTCTTTAAACGTATATTAGGTTGTTCGTTGAAGTTGAAGTTATATTATAAAAAAATTAATTAGTGCTTAATTAGTTTGTTATTTTAACTAAGTTATATTATAATAAAAAGAAATAGTTTATTAGTTTAAGGTATATTATAATATATTAGATTATATAAAATTAATTTGTGGGAGCTATTGTTGTTTAAATAAATATTTTGTTTACACATACATGACATTATTTCACAACATTTGCCCACGTACAGATTGATTCGAAGAAAGAAACAAGGCAGGAAAAGAAAGTAAAGGAAGAAGGCATAAAGACGTGAGTAATTTATTATTTTTTGTTGTCCATTTTTTGTTGTTGTGTATGTGTAAATTAGTTAGTTAGTAAGTTTATATTAGATTATATA